GGGAGTGCTGGGGAAGGATAATGGCCAAATTATATTGTTACATTGTGTGAATGTGCTAATATGTCTCAACAAATCCCAACATTATGTACAACTGTATCGCACCAGTAAAAAAGAAAATGTGTGGACAGTAGACAGAGCAGAGGTTGGGACATAACCAAAGACCAAGTGCAGGGCACTGGCTTTCTCATAGCCCACAGCCAACTCGGTTAAGCACCAATTCTTCCTTCAGTTCCAGAAGAAGAAGTTGTGAGTGTACATCTGAAGAGAAGCAAATTCTTCCAGGAGAGTGGTCAGATGAAAACACCAGGACTGAAACAACACACCATGCACATTCACTAGCCTCTGTCAGTATGAGAAGGCAGGCCTTCTGGAACAGGGCGCAGCTCTGGCTGCCTGGCCAGGACATACGGGTGCATTTCAGCCAAGGATTCTGCACAGAGGAAGCAATCAGCCATTTATCAAGTGGACAAATTAGTCACTTCTAAACCTTCAGGACCATGCCTGATTTGTCTGCGACTAATAAGAGTCTCCTTGCTTTTAATCTGGCCAACCTATCTATCATCCATCCATCCATCCATCCATCCATCCATCCATCCATCCATCCATCCATTTATTCAGCAAGCCTCTGTTGTGATTACAGAATTCCATAACAGAGACAGTGTGGGGCCAGATTCCTAGAAAATGACATCAGAAGTATAAGGAAGAAGGCCCAGCCTGAAACTCTAAGTCTGCAGAACGCTATCCTGAGAGCTTGGCCAGGATGAGCAATGGCTTTGTTTGGAATACTAAATGGCCTTGGCAGATGCCACATGTTTGGGGGCTTCATAGTCAAAGAGAGATCTCAGGCCTTCTGGTTTCTATTTTTCCCACAGTGTCCTGGAGTCCCACAGGGTACCCTCCAGCACTGCTGCAGGAGGAGACTGAACTCAGTGGCAACCCTGTAGGCATGCTGCTGCAGACACGCTGGCCCTGGCCTTTCTTTTCAGGCAAAGATCCTGCTCCACTGGGAACTTTGTATAAGCTCCACTTTGCAGATAAAATTGTTCTTCAGAATCAAAGGGCTTTGTATTATAATGCTGAGCTCCACTAAGGTGCATATGAGTAGGGCTGTGTGTGCGTGCGGCATGTAGCATAAGGAGAAAGCATATATATTCTATCCTGCCTGGTTACTTACTCCTAACAGGATGCTACCTGGAGTCCATGGATGAGACTATAGAGGATTCATCAATTTCCAGAAATTTAGTACAAAATTTGAAAGGCACTAGCCTTCTCCAAATCCTCTAAGAGGGCCTGAGACCTTAGGAACAGCAGGAATCACAACTATAAAACACCTGATTATTCACCACAGAAGCCCACTCCCCAGCCATCTTCCTGGTTTCATTTCATAGCGCCCCAGGTCTTTGCTGTTGCCAAGATGATGGCCTGCTGCCCGACAAGACAGGCTCATATCCGAGTTAGTTCTGCCACCTACAGCCCACAGCCCAGCAGAGCCACTACACAGCACAGCAGAGAGGGAGTCTCATCTGCATACATGAGTGAGGGGAGGACTGCCTCTCCAGCCTGGGACCTCTCCATTGAGAGGAAAATGGCTTTGGGGATTCTCCATTAATATTCAGAGATGCAAGTTCCTTTGGGGTCAGTTACAATGATGGGAAGATGTTTTGACATTAAAGGGAAGAGAGATTTTGAGGATTAACTCTTGAAAAAAAATGATGTTTCCTGAAACCTAGAGAGGAAAGGTACTGTAAAAAAGAGAGAGATAATGAGCTCATGGTTTCCACAATAAATATAGCTCTCTGGGTGCAGAAGCAGTTTGATGCTGGGCGCCCTTTCTAGGTCCCAACAGGTCATCTTTGCTATCTAACTAGCCATATAATAAAAATACTTGCTTCAGAGGAATATGATTTCCTAAGACACTTGGGCTGAACTTGGAGTAGGTTTCTTATATGCTCATGGGGGCAGAATGCTCTTTGAGAGCAGAGATTATGTTGTTCTTATCTCTGGGTCCCCACTTAGGACATCTTTGAGCCTGACACTTAGGATGAAGCTCAATAAATGCCCGTTGATTTAAAGCAATAGAAATGTGGATGTTTTGTAATCTATGCTGTGCTTGCTGATATTCAATCATGATACCTACAGATTGTTGAGCTCTTATGCATCAGACACAGTATTTCAAATTCTCTCAATGTACAAGATGGGTATTGTTTTGCAAGTGAAACTGAGACTCAGCATTATTAAGTATTCTTTCAAGGATACACACTTGTGATGGAGTCAAAATCCATACCCAGATGTCAGAGTTTGTAATCCCATGTTTTGACCACTCCACCCATGTTTTTTATATCCATGACAAGCTCACTTACAGTGAAAGGAAAATGAACCAAAAGCATATAATTCAAAACCTTTTAAAATTTTTTTAATTAAAAATTGTTTCCCAGTCCTTAGAACTTCTCTGACAGCTTTTATAATGTTCTTGCTTGATAATGGATGCAGATACCTGCTGACCCTGAGCTAGAAGTGGTTCTACCTTGAAGAATGAGTCATTCTCAAACGTACTGTAGAGATGATCATGGGATCCTTGAGAGCATTTTTGTCTGATGATGAACAGTAGCTGGGTAAGGCAATGAGCTTTTCTGTAATTTGAAGATACTTTGATTGGCAGCAAGGAATTCTTAATAGGGAAAAGTACTCTTCGCCATTTTGGAATACAGAGCTTACTGTATAATAATTCTGCCTCTTCCACAGACTATTTCTTTATTGATATTTTAGATTTCAAAAAGAACTCCAAACTAAGCAAGAAAGTACACAAGATAGAAGATCCAGGCTTCGTTACTTTTCTGGATTTGTAATGCTGGATTCCCTGGGATTGAGTGGCTTTGTCCTAGGGGGCACGTTGCACGTGTGCTGCTCAGCCTTTGAAATGTTGCTCTTTTGCTTTAGAGAGAGAAACTAAAGAAGAAAGTGGGGTGAAGTGAAAAGAGGTTGGAGCTAGACTGGAGACCCCTGGGCTTTGTCTATGTCTTGTTGTCTCTGTTAACTCTTCTAACATGCAGAATCCGTAGGGCAGTGGGCCAGAAACTCTAGCAACGTTTATCAGAATTACATGTTTTTTTTAAAAGGTTCATTCAGAGTCTCACATCCAGACCTAGTGAAACAGAAGAAACAGAGCCTGGAAGTCTGCATTTTTAGTAGTTCATTTGGTTTTGAGAGAGGGAATCCTTAGAGCACACTTCAAGGGACATTGGCCTAGAAAGATCATAGGGTCTTTCTATCAACTGCTTCTTAAATACATCCACTCAACTGAGGCAGACCTGGGGACAGAGATAAAAGGCAGCCTCTGCATTCTAAGAACTCCTGGTCTAGTGGAAAAGACTGACTTAGAAACAAGTAGTTACAAAGCGTGCATAAAACCATGGAGCAGAAAGGAGAGCATGCCATGGGACAAACTGTAGGGAGGCACCAACTCAGCCAGTGCAGGAAGAGGTGCACATCTGGGGGAAAGAAGGAGCCATGTCTTCAAGGGTGAACAAGCATTAGGTGGGAAGAGGAGAGGGGAGACTTCAGTGGGCAAAACCAGCATGGCCTCCAAGGTAGTGCAAAAGGCGAAGGCTGACGCAAGGGAAGGGGTCAGAAGGAAGGTAAGACTCTGAACCTCACATCTGTCTTCCATGATGAACTGATTCTTTTTCACCTGCGCAGAGGCATTGCCAATATTTCTATCGCTGTAATTGCAATGGCGATGAATGCAGCGTTCCAATTTGTGGTCTTTGTCCTCGTAGATATAGTTCTTTTGATGCAGTGGTAGTCTAATAAGCTTGCGGCTGAGAAGGGATTCAGGAAAGTCTGAGGCGTTATCCTAAATGGTTTTACCTTCTTGTTGCATTCATTAATCTTTGTCATCAGATGTCTTGGACCAAAGTAAAGCTGAAAAATCTATCCAAAGGAGAAAACAAGGTGACTGTGTGCAGAACCACAGTAAAACCTCCCACATCGAATGAATCCTGGCACATGTTATTTACATTATCATCATGTGCGAAATACAAATGAGTACATGAATAAAAATAAAATAGCATTCATCATCTGCCTCTGTAAGAATTAAAATCGAAAAGAACCTGTGCTTGCCACTCTGTTCTCCGAAGTTTCAAAGATGGATTTCACTGCCAGATCATCTGCATAAACTAGCATTGTAACTCACAGTGTGTGGTTACACAAACAAGAACAAGAGCCAGCAGCCAGAGGAGAAATCAGAGCGTGCTGCGCTCCACAGAAGAGAGCTTTTTCTTTAACCAGGGAGAATCATCTGAATTTAAAATAGAGCAACATGTGTATAACCCATAGTCTATACAGGAAGTATGTGTGTGAGTGTGTGTGTGTGTGTGTGTGTGTGTGTGTGTGTGTGTGTACATCACATTCAGCTGTAATATCATATTACAAATGATTCTAAGTTAAGTGGCTATAATCAAGCATTGGTAATATTTCTTTCCCCCAAAACTTATATAGAGAAAATCAAAACCAAGAAAGGACAGAAAAGTATCCATAAGCTGTCTAATTGATTCCAGCTGTTTATTGATGGTGGTTAATATAATCAAGTAGCGGAACACCAATGTCTTTGGACTCCTTGCAGTTGTGTGTAATACTGGAGCCAATGCAGGAGCTGATGTCCAGACATAAAACCTACAACCTCAGTCCCCGAGACTGCCTGAAGACCTGCTTGTTTCAGAAGTGGCAGCGGATGGTGGCACCGCCAGGTACATGCTCATTCTTCACTTTTTTCTGGGGATGGAGTGATGTGAGAGGGAAGAAAGTGAAGGTAAATTTGTCAGAAGAAGTCATTTGTTAGGGACATTCTGACCACGATTTTAGACGTGGAGACATCGAACTTCCAAAGACCAGATATCCTTAAGGATGACGTATAGTCTCTCCTTGCTAGTTGAGGACCTGAAACCCAGAGGAGTAACATGATTTGTTCAAGGTCATTGGGAAGGTCAGCAGCAAAGTCAGGGTCAAAACCAGGATTTTCAGTCTCCTAATCCAGTGATGTTACCACTGGACCAGATCCCTGACTTCTGTGGCCTTATGTTTTTGGGTTTGGGTTTTTAAGGATGATAGGAAGGAAGAAAGAGAGGGTGAAAAAAGATAGAGGGAGGAAGGGAAGATAAATAAAATTTGCTGTATTTTTAAAACATATCAAAAGGAACTCTGATTATGAAGAGAAGACATAAAAGACTCCATTTCTCTCACTTCCCTGGACTGCAGTTTAGATACTATAGTCTCCTGCTGGGGTTCTGAAATTACTGCTTCAAGTCATCGTTAATTGTCTTTCTATCTAATACATTTTTCACTCCCAGGCTTGTGTCGAGCCTCATTGATCATAAAAGCAAAACATGTCCATTCGCTAAAAATTATTTTTATAAAGAGTAATTATTAACATGAGACCCATAGCTTTCTGAATCACAAAATATAACCATCACCTTCCACTGGTATTGGCCAGGGGCTTTCTATAAAATGGATATAGAGGATTTAACCAAGTACATACTTAGAAAGCTGATAAAATATATTTTATTTTACATAGTATGGCTGCATTCCCATCCTAGGGGAATTTTAGGCTTTTAGAATATTATTTTTCAAGTATATTAAATATACTGAAATTGGCTTTATTTTCTCTTTCAATATCAATAATTTTTGCAAAACAAATAAAAAAGAGCTCTTCACACACCAAATACTTTGAGCACCTATATTTTCCAGCATATTCATATATAACTCATATTATTCATTCATTCATTCAACAGTTATTTATTGAATCCTACTATGCAGAAGGTACTGCTGTTGCAACCACTGTGGATATATCATGGAAACAGTCCAAAATATTGACTCTTCACAATAGCTTTATGAGATATTTATTCTTTTTATTTTTTTTTTTTTTGCGGGGGATTGCAGGGGTACCATGGAATGAACTCTGGGGCACTTGACCACTGAGCCACATCCTCAACTCTATTTTGTATTTTATTTAGAGACAGGATCTCATTAAGTTGCTTAACGCTGGCTTTGAACTTGCAATCCTCCTATCTCAGTCTCCTGAGCTGCTGGGATTATAGGCATGCACCACCACGCCTTGTGAGATATTTATTTTTATCTACAATTTATATAATGATGACCAAGACTAAAAATTGTGATTTGCTAAAGTTAGTCTCACAACTAATAAATGAAGGAGGACTGTGAAACAAAAAGTATTGTATCTCTAAATTCTATGATTTCACTGCCATAGACACCAGCTACCAATGGGTATCATCTACTATGTGCACTTTAGTTGAATTCACCCCAAATTTTATAAACAAAGTGTAAATGCAAATAAATAAATAAATATAGCTTATTTACATTCTTAACATCAAAACAGGAAAGTGCTTATCAGAGGCAGACCTGTGTATCTGATTGACTTTAAAATGTCAGCTTAATTCTCCTTCTAACTTCATAACCTAGATCAATTATATTTCTTTCTATTGTCCTTCAGAATAAGCACCCACAACACCATTAAATACTTTGATGTAAAATCTTTGAGCGTAAGGAAAAAAATATTCATGAAAGACACAAATTGGTAAATAAATAGGAATATAATCCCCTCTTGATCATCATGGTCAAGGATAACTTAGTGGAATAAATAGTCTTTGTAGTGAGCCTTATAAATCAGGTGGTGGTGCATGCCTATAATTCCAGCCACTCAGAAGGCAGAGGCAGGAAGATAACAAGTTCAAAGCCAGCCTGGGCAGCTTAATGAGATTCTGCCTCAAAATAAAATAAAAAGGCCTAGGGGTGTAGCTCAGTAATAGAGCACCCCTGGGTTAAATTCCCAGAACTGAAGGAGGAAAAAGAAGAAAAAGAGGAAGAAAATAAATGAACCTTATAAGTATATTTTTCTCCTTGTCCATCAGAAGAACTATAAGTGTGTCAAAAAGATGTTAGGAGGACCATTCATTGAGTTAAACTTGCTCTGTCTTACCTTCTCACTTTCAGAGTCAAGTCTAAAATAGGGTTAGAAAAAGGGCCCACTCACATGCCATTTTCCACCTTATTCAGTACTGTGAGGAAAACACTTCTGAAGATTGCTTATTTACAAGACAAAGATTATAAGTAAAAGTATGTACTAGGGTTGTTATGAATATAAAATAGTTGATGCATCAAAAACACTAAGAGTAACACATTGAGTAACATTCTATACATAGCAAACAAATAAGTAACATTCTTCTTACCACATTTTATTTATAAGGTGTTGCTCCATTCTTCAGATGCAAAATGGTCTTCTTAGTTTCTGAATAAGATATTTTTTTAAATAGGACTAGCTCCCTTCATTAATATGCTGACTATATCACATATGAGGCTTTTTTTCCCAGAGATCCTGAAACTAGTAGCATTGATAAAACAGCAGGGTCCAAACCATGGGTATTTCTGAAGAGCTCTGGAATCCCCAAGTACACATGCTCAGTTGAGAAAACTGCCACTTTTCTCACTTGAGATTATTAAGGTGCCATAGAGGTAGGCTGCAATGTGACACTTGGCCAGTAGGTGCTGCTGTTGCACACTGGTTCACTAATTCTACTGTCCATTACTTTCACTCTTGCAGGGTCTAGGGATCCCAGCAGTCCTTCCAGGCTCAGGGGAGCAAACTCCAAAATGTTCTAATGGTAAAAATGTTTTAAATGCAATTATAAAAGGAGTACCTGCAGCTTATCCCTCAAATAATATTCGTAAATGGCCGACATATAAGTAGAAAATAAAATAACAATCATTTCTTCTTATATGCAAAAGAAAAGAGTTTCCTCAAATTCTGCACTAAAAATGAATCAGCAGCTTTCTCTCTTTGTTGTTGGTTTTTTTTTTTTTTTGTAAAGTTGCAAGAAATGAAACATTTTTAAGTAGTCCACTGTTTTCAATTGACAAAAATGAATCCTGTGCCTGATACTTTTGCTTTAGAACTGATCCTTCTCCCCTCGTCCTTATTGCAGCAGAACCCACAAGGCAACCGACAACCAAAAGGAGAAAAAGAAAAAATTCCACCAGCAGCACTTCCAACAGCAGTGCTGGGAACAACGCCAACAGCACGGGCAGCAAGAAGAAGACCCCGGCTGCAAACCTGAGCCTGTCCAGTCAGGTACCTGTAAGTCTCGCTTTCCTTTTAGGCCTGAAATCTTGCCTTTGCCTATCACCCTGTGCACGGGGTTTGAATGAAAGCCTCTTTGAGCTGCAAAAGAAAAGAAAGGAAAAGAAAACCTTCTGGGCAGGTTCAAAGTTGGGGAGGAGGCAAGGCAAGGACTTGGGTGGGACAGAAGGAAAGAATCTTTCGTGACAACCTTCCCCAGAAAACTGGGTGTCCAGAGGGGATATTAAGAGTCAGCACTGCAGTGGGACCTGAATTAAAAAGCTCTCAGAGTCATAGACAGAAGATATGTCACTTAAGGTTAATTAAAAATGTCACCTAACAGTAGCCTGGTGGCATATTAGGGCCTCTCCTCAGGGGCATAGGAGACCCTGTGAGCCCTGGAAGCCAGCCCCGGAGCCCAGGCCCTATACTGTAATTTGACTGGGCCCTCTCAACACGGTGTCTTATTTTAAGACTCAGGTAATGAATTTGCAGCCACTAAAGATGCAGCTTAGTAGGTTTTGCTGTACCTGTTTCATTAGCTCAGGGAGACGGTCAGCTCCTGGTTTGGTCTCAACTCTCTTGATCCCTTGACCCCTTTCTTTCATTTCTGGGTCTGGACACAGGCCACATGCAAGGGGGCCTCTTGGAACTCTGAAACCAAAAGCTAAGGGTCATCCCCAAATAGTGGAACCTGTAGGCAATGTCCTTATCACCTATCATCCTTCTCGAACTGCGTCCCTTCTGCCTAATTCCTTCCTGTATCCGAATTCCCCAGCCCAGCATCAGACTATCACTTTTTTAACTTCTCCTGTTCCTGTAAACATCTGCATCCCTTCTCCCCTCCACGATTCCTTGTGGGTTTTCCTTTTCTTCTGTCCTTGTCACATCACCCTGTCACCAGGTGTTTGACTCTCATTTGAATCCTGACCCTTTCTTGGTGCTCCATGGCTGCCCGCTAGATGCCACGTCTTCAGAGGTGTGCCTCATTCCTTGTTCTTCCCTCCGCCAACACGCGTTTGCCTTCTCCAACTTTATCACTTTTCTCCATTCTCTATCTGTCGTCCTCACCTGTCTTGTTCTGATCCTGTCCCATCTCTTTCCGTGTAAGAGGAGACTTTTACACAGAAATTTCCCTCACTTCCAAATGTGCCTTTCAAATCTGTCCCCGTCCCACTTTTTCTCACTTTCTATTGGTTAATTCTCTTTAAACAAAACCAGGCCCATCAGTACCCTGAGAATTCCCTGGGCCAGTAGGAATGTTCTCCTATCTTCCATGGTGGGGTATAATGTCCATGGCCACTGAGTTAGAAAGAAGGGGTCATAGAGATAATGGCCATCTGCAGTGGAAGATGCCATTTTAACTTTAAGACAACCAAGAATTGTAGTCCTCACATAACAAAATAAACTTCAGGTAGTTCTCTATTTTCTGAGCAGGACTTTATATCTATCACCACTGAAGTTCAGGAGGGGAAATCCCAAGTTGAGTCTCTTTATTAAGGTACCAACCTGCTATGCCCTCTCCTGGCTAAACGGGAAAATGCCTAGAGAGGATGGCCAATGTACAGAAATTGACTGAAAAAAGTGCACACAGTAGTCTATTTATTTTTCTAGTCCAGGAGTTTGAGAAACTAGCATTTGTCACTGTCATCTAACAAAAGAAGTCAGTACACTTCAGAGAATTCTGGAAGTGAGAAATCTGTTGTGTGCCTACCAACAGATGCAGGAATTCAAGTCAGTTCGGCAAGTGTTTTCTGAGATCCTGCTCTTCGGCACACTGTGCCAGGCACTGGTGATTCTGGTGATAGCAATGTCAAAAAACAAAACAAAATGACTGAGTGCTGTCATTGACATTGAAGAGTTCAAGATCTAATCCGGGGATGGAAAGAGTTTCCTCTCTTTTGCAGGCTCAGAGTACAGTGTTGAGAAGGATTCTCAGCCTGACTGGGTTTGGTGGCCACCCATTGGTGATGGCTGCCAGGGTGTGAAGCCGAGAGTAGAAGCCTACACATTCATGTTGTGTATTTTTGATAGACCTGGTCTCGTGGGAATGCTTTCCATTTTATTTCAAAGCGCACTTATTTTTTTTCTATTGCATTATGCTCCTGTTCTCCAATCCAACAACTGCACTTTCATGAAGGACCCTGTGTCAAGAGGGTTCTTCATGGGTTAAAAACCCTTTGAAATCTATGCAGGCAAAACACCACTAGAAATGGAGAGCTCAATGGCAGCATTATCCTCATACTGTGCAATTAAAAATATTTTGATTAAATAAGACTTTCAGATGGCCCAGAGACATGGGGAAGACAAACAGGTTAGGAAAATGTGCAGATTGTTAGGTGTCTTCGAGTTCAATGGACATTCAGTGATAAGCGTGGATAGCTTGTAGTGACCACATCTTTTAACCCTGTCTACCTACTGAATCACTGACCCTCTCCTACTATTTAAATGGAAATGCTGTCTGCAGGCAGTAGCTGCCTGTCCATGGACCACAGCCATGATCGGTGTAGCTGCTGCGGCAGCAATGTGTGTGTGTGGCCAGGAGTAGGGTTTAATCCTTGGATTCTGCTTCTCACTCCATGAGCAGGGGCTAGGAGCGATCCCGAACTGCAGCCTCAACCCTGGGAGGGATGGAGACCTGTGTCATTCAACAGCAGTGACCCCTTCTGGCCAATTTAAGGAGAAGCATTGAGGGGCCCTGAAAGGAGTCACTTCCAGTCCTCCTCAGAGGTTGGTGGTCCTTGCACGGGGATTTAGTGAGAAGATGTGAAATGGGAAAAGTTGGCGGTACCTCCAGGCCTCCAGTCCAGGAGCAGAGGTCGGCCTGTGGGGAGCTGAGGGCACCTGGGCTACTTAAGATGGTCACTGTTGCCTCTGTGGGACACACAAGCTGGAGCTGGGAAGGAAATGCACTCTCTCTACCAACGTGGGGGGACTTTTGGAGATGTGGGTGGGGGAGATGCGGCTCACATCCCCAGTGAAAGGAAGCCCAGAATGTGCATTGTGTCTCCATTCATTTTGTGTGAGGATAACAAATCGCAAAAGTCAGTCAGAACAGAGAATCACTATCCTAGTGTGAAGGCTCAAAAGAAGCAAGTAGAAATGTGCATATGATTTTGTAAGTGACCTCAAGTGTCTGTGTGCATATGAAGTCCTCAGCCTTCTCAGTCTTTTTACAGCTTGCCACCTGTCAGTCATGCAAATACCACACACACACACACACACACACACACACACACACATATACACACACGATTCTATATCTGACCTAAGGCTATATTTCTTTTATAATCAGTAAAGTAAATGTGGCATATCTCTAGAGCTTGGAATGCCTAAAAATGCCTATGCCTGGCCATCTTTCCCAATTGTTCCTAGAAAAATAAAAAAGATTCACTGCCCCCACCCCCAGTCCTACGTCTCCCCATTGGAAGTGATTTGAACCACTACTTTCATAGAACTTTTCTTGCATGATGGTTGTTTTCTAATACAAGGATTGCATCTGGAGTGCTGGGGACTTTTCTTCTAAAGTCACGCTTAAGTTGGCTGCTTCTTGTTTTTCTCCTGTTTTTCAAATCATGCATCCTTCCTCCCAGCCCCTCTAGATGACCTTGGAGTCAATCCCAAGGCAGATCCCTGTGGTTGATTCTAACACCCTTCCCCCTGCCTGGTGACACCTAATGCATGAGTTTTCCAAGACCTTCAAAGTGCTCTGTATCCAGTCAAGAAAATAGATTAACCCTCCTGCTGAGCTCTGGTCAGTCTTGCTCTACCCTTCCTGCCTACCTTTGTTCCCCATCATAAGTGCAGCCTCCCAATGGCCTGTAACTAAGTAACACTTTTTTTATCCTGAACACCCCCAGGTCATATGGCAGCTGCCCAGATAACTGAGTCATGTCCACACATCTGTGTGGTGGCCACATTCCATCCAAAATCCCATTGTCATTCTTGCCAGTCAGAGAGACTGTGTCTGTTTTGCATCTCATCTTAAGTCCTCCCGAGTCTCCTTCCATGTCAGTGTCATTTCCGGCTCTTCGTTGCCTAGCAAATATGTTCTTCAAAGCACCCAGCTCCATATCCTGCCGGCACCTTTACTGCTGAGTTGACCCAGTTCACATTTTCGCACGTCCTCCATCAGGGATATGTCTTTTTATCAACTTGGAGGAGCAACTAGTCAGAAAACACCGTTTGGAAATCTATGGATCATCTCACCTAATTCAAAGGAGTGGGGGAATAAATAAATAAAATAAAACAAGAAGCAAGGTTTTTTATCCCAAAGGCCAGGTGGGGATTCAGAGATTTGTTCATTGGGCAGCTTCGGAATTCTGAGGGGGATCCAAGGATCCCCCTGGCCCTTCTGAGCACAGACAGCATTCCACTAAACCACCCAGGGATGCCTTCTTTTGGCAAAGCCTCAGGGGAAAGAACTTTTGTGCAGTTGTCCAAGTAGCTGATTGATGTAGCCTCCTTACCAGGAGACTCCGCCCACATTCTGGCCCAGACCTGTTTTTTCTGGCCCTAGGAAGGCCAGAGCAGTAGTTTCAGCTTCTGAAGTCACTGAACTTTTTAGTAAAATATTGCTCAGCACCTGTCCAGAAGAATCTACCCGACAGGTGTCCTGTCCCACAGCCAGGCTGCCCATCAACACATATGGCCCTCTTTGAACAAAAAGGCCAGAGCTGTGCCTGTGTGTGCATCCCTTGTACCAAGCTCGGTCCCTGGGCTTCTCTAGCTGTGGCCTCTGCAGGGCTCCCAGCTACAGTAGGTGGCTTCTTGTTTGCATGGAAGGACAATTTGTACTTAAAGGAGTGATTAGATGGATTCTTCTTAGCCACTTCCATTTCTGATGACTACTGGCTTCATCAGTGTAATTATAATTAGCTCTCTTCATCTTCCTTTTATGGTACCAGCTGGACAGACTGGTTCTCTTTACTGTCCAGATTGGTAGCAGGGTTGTCTGTGTGGGGCTAGGTGACAGGCACCATGAAATAACAGATGGTAAATTCAGGGCTTGTTGGCAATCAGCAGGTTTTTGCTAATGACTTAATTAGCTATGCAAATTGTCAAATCAGTGTGAACATTGTTTTTATCGAAAACTTTACCTAAATTAATTACCATAATTAAGTAGCAGAATGTCAAGGATATTGGCTGCATAAAAGGGCCTAGCTGAGCAGAGAAAAGAGAGATTCTGTCTTCAATTAAAATGTATGCCATCCTTGGGACAGAGAAAACCGAGTTGTGTGGCTATTGCAGAATCGCACCTTCCGCGCGTCCCTATTGGCCACTAGTCTCCAAAGCCGCCCAAGGGCCCTCCATAAAAGTGGCGGATTTTTGGAGGTATTGAAAAAGCAGAAGGTTCCACAGCCCTCTCCAAAGTCCCCAGAGTCAGCAAGTTCAAAGCGTGGATTTTTTTAATTTTGAAAAATCCATTTTTTTATTTCTGCAGATTGCTAGCATTGCTCGTTCTCCGGTGTCAGGCTGCGCACTAAGGACATAAACTCGCGTGGTTGTTACACGTCAGGAGGCGATGTTTATTTCCTGTAGAAATCCAATATGCGTCTCGGCCCCGACATTGAGACTTGGCCCCGTTGTGTCCTAGGTTCCCAGCTCCTCCCACTATTATTTTAAGCTGAGCTTCTCTCTCTCCCAAGGTTTCCCTGTAATAATGTCAGCTGCTATTCACAGGATGTGATGGTGGTAGGAGAGCCAACTCTGATGGGAGGTGAGTTTGGGGACGAGGACGAAAGGCTAATCACTAGATTAGAAAACACGCAGTTTGATGCGGCCAACGGCATGGACGACGAAGAGGACTTCAACAATTCACCCGCCCTGGGGAACAACAGCCCATGGAACAGTAAACCTCCCGCCACGCAAGAGACCAAATCAGAAAACCCCCCGCCCCAGGCTTCCCAGTAAGATGACCCACGGCTCCAGATCCATAGGCCTGGGGGGTGTCATTCCAAACGCAGACCTTTACTTTCAGGAGAGGAAGGAGGAGAAATAAAAAAAGAAAAGAAAAAAAAAACTTTTCCATGCAAATATCTATTTCTAAACCACTACAATCTGGTTCTTCTTTCTTTCGCATTTTTTTTTCTTTTTTAATTGAGAGGATCGTTCCAAATAAAGCTTCCATGACCCTTCCTTGGAGGGCTTCACGGGAAATACAGATACTGGCACTGATGGTAATTAAAATGAGAGAAAACACTAGCGCATCTCCTGGCACAGTCTTATCAGCGTGTTTGTGTTGAATTTCCTTTTCATGCATCCAGCGAAGGCCATGCTGCCCATGCGTGCTCAGTGCTCAGGATCTCATTAATATGCCGAACCTAACTACAGGTGACTTTTTAATATTGTAAAATATTTTCTGCTTTTTGACTTGCATTTGAGAGTTTCTTGTTTCAGTAAAAAACGAAAAGAAAAAAATCAGCTTTTGGAAAGTAATTTAAATGTACCCTTATTTTTCTTTTCCTTCGCCTCTTTCTCCCATTGAGCAACAGCCAAGAGGGTCCAGCCAGGAAACTTATGGTCAAACTGATGTCGATTGGTTCTTGAGTCTGAGTTGGTTCGATTTAGCCCAAGAGCTGAAACAAGAAATGTCTTGTTATCATCAAAGACACCAGGCAGTTTTTTTTTTTTTTATGTAAAGAAAGACAGTTGGACCCTGAAAAAAAATGTATGCGTTTGTAAAGTTGCTGTTGATCCAAATATTTTCAAGCCATGTAATCCATTAATTTTGTGGGCAGTTTAATAAATCTAAAACTTTTTGTGTTTTTTTTTAAATTGTATCTGAGTTGACTGTTCTTCCTTTTCATAGTATATTTCTTGTATGATATTTTGTAAAGCCCTCACCTGGTTCTTTTATGGGGACTTTTCATTTTAGACTATTCCAGTGTATTTATGTGAAACTTTATAAGAGAACTAATTTTTCCATTTGCCTATTAATATGTTCCTCCACACATGTAAAGACACAGTGGCTCCGTGTGTTACAAAACAGCTGTATTTTATGTATGCTTTACTGGTAATGTGCCAATAATAAACTGTGTTAATGACCTAAGTAAGTGAATCTGGCAATTTGTGTGTGTGTGTGTGTGTGTGTGTGTGTGTGTGAATCTGCTCACAATTACCTTAGATTTATGGTCTGGACTCCAAATAGAGTGGAATCATAAAAGCTGTGTGAAGCAGGTCCACTGTGCCCTGGCTACTGACTTGTCTGAGGCAGAGGAGACAGAACACACTTAGGTGCAATGAGTTACATGAAATGGATTTGTTGCTTACAGACAAGCAGCCTAGGACCCATGCCAGCCCATCCTCCAAGCCTCAGCAAAGCTGCCCAGGGCAGATGGAATCTTGATTATGCATACCCCACTTCACTGCAGCTGAGGGACCCTGGAAAGCAGCCTGCCTGGGTTTTACACCTGGGGGCAGAGGACAGGCGGCGTTGAGCAGGGAAGCCAGCCTTAGTTTTGTGTCGTGATAACAGAATCCCATAGATAGGGCGATTCAGGAAAATTTCCTCACCACAGTTCTGGAGGCTGGGAAGCCTGAAACCGAGGTGCCAGCATTTGTAAAGCATGGTTCCTTTCCTTACCCACTGTGGTTTCTGGGGCAGACACAGGGGTGCCCACTGAAGGCACAGTGATGGGAAGCGTAGAGGGGTGTGGACTGGAGTCAGATGGAAAGGCAGCAGCTTCCCCCTCCCGGGTGCTCACTCTGCACTAGAGAACTCCAGTCAAGCTCCTAGACGTTATTTCCAATGATTCGTATAGTAACTTGTTCCAGTAATCATTAATATCCCACATTTTTTAAAAAGTCAAGGTCTCTCTGGTTTGTAATTCTGAAAGGTTCCTATACGGAGTATAGAAAATTCACTTGAGGATCTTTGACGTTTAAAGAACATGCCTCATATTTTTCCACTTTGTATGAATGAGAAAGATGAAAAAGGAAATCTGTTATCATTTATTGTTTATGGAGTGCTAAGCAAGTCAAGTTATCCTCTCAGTAAATTTTGGAGAAAAGCATTTGGAAAAGAGAAATGGAGGGAGATGGTTGGTCTTACGGTAGGATCCCTAGAAGCAGAGCACAAATCTGAGATGTGGGGGCATGGGATTTGTTAGGGTAATTTTCTCTGGAGAAGAGCCTTTAGGGAGTGGGGAAGGCAGGAAAAGAAGGAGATGGGAGACAAGAAAAGCTGTGGACCTCTATCGTCTATTCCTGGGCCTGATCCATGGGAGAGGGCTTTGGAGCACTGACCTTCTGCACAATCATCCTCCTGTGCTAGAGACCCACTTCTGCGCACCTGTAACCAAGCATCATTGTCTGGGGACCCTGAAGAGGTGTGTGAGGGGGTGATAGCCCCAAAGCAAAATGGCCACATTTTGAACAGCTGAGGGACGTTCTGCAGGGCAGGAGTCAACTAGATGCCAACAGCCACAGCATCTTGGGATGGACAGCTGGCTTCGCCAAGGACATCTGAGTAGAGACTAAGAGTCAACTCCACTAGGAGATCACCCCTAGTTATGTTTACCATGGGTGACACAGTTGGGATTTGATTCTATATATCCCTTGACTCATAGCTTCATTTTTTTTTTTTTCTAGAACATCACTTCACCTCCCTAACACAGCTCTTGGGGGAAATTGTGAGCCCAGTAGGAAGAGAACCACAGGAAATATATGGAAACTGCTGCCTGACTGCTTTGTCACTAGTGTTCTTCTGAGAGCCTTTCCAGTTTTTCCTCCACTCCACCTCACCATTTTAAGTTTTCTTTTATCAGTTCTTCAAAGTAAAACCCATATAAGCAATTATTACAGGTGATGGCAAGGACAATTTATTGAACACCTTTTCTGGCTGTCTATTGTTGTACAGCAAGTCAATCCGAAACTTAATAACCCCAGAGGATGATTTACTACTCTGATTTGACCTTCCAAGACCTTTGCCGGGTGGCACTTTAGAGTGGCAGGTGCCAGGTGGAGTCATCAGACTAAGTCATCATTGACGGAGATGAACATTGAAGATGGAGCACTCACAGGGCTGGGTACTGGGTGGGAGCTCAGCCAGGTCTGGTGACTGGAGTGTTTTATAGCCCCTCTGGGGAGTTCTCACAAATGATGGGTTTTGAGAGGCAGTGTGCCAAGGAACAGCATTCTAGGACAGAGGAAATATAAATCGCCATTGTCCAGAACTGGCACTGAGTCATTTGTATCCATTGCCCATGACAGTGACAGAGACAGTCACTGGTCAGCCTGGATTTAAGGCATCGAGGGAGACCCCACTTGTGGATGGTAAATGGCATGTGCACCCTGGAAATGCAAGGATTGATGTCCACCATCTTTAGAACAAAACCTTTACGACCTCCATGGCAATTTACACCTGGCCTCAGTTTACCATTCAGTCTAACCTTCAGCCCCTTTCTACTCACACTGATCCCCTCTATCCTGCACTCCTCCTTATTTCCTGAAAACACCAAGTGCTCATGGCTCATTTGCTTTTGATTATGCTTTCCCCTCTTAGGATGCTGCTCCACACTTTTTTATGTAACCAAAGCTATTTGTCTTTAAAAATCTTGATTCTACAACCTCTGAGACATCTCAGCATCTCAGGTTATGGTCAATTGTCCATCTGGGTTCCAGGGGACTTGGTTTTTTAGTCTCCCTTTGCATTTTCCTTACAAGGTATATTGTTGTTGCAGAATTCCCCTCACCATCCCACTGGACTTCACTAATTCTGAGAGGTGTGATCATTTTAATCAATATCTTTAATATCTAACTCCATTATACATCTTGATAAAGAAGATAAACTCAGAATTTCTCAAGGAAGAAATCGTGAAACCACTGTTTATTACACACTGTCCCATGAAGCAGCAAATGGTTTCTTACTCTATGGTACAACTTGGGGGTGACATTAATTCCTGTAGATATACAGGTTGAATATCCTGAGTTAAAAAATCTAAATCCAAAATATTCCAAAATCCAAAATGTTCTGAACACTGATATGATCCACAGTGGAAAATTTCACCCTGACCTCATGGGATAGGAGCACTGCCAGGAGCCAGGGTGCACGCCTGTAATCCCAGCAACCGGGAGGCTGAGGCAGGAGGACTGCAAGTTCAAGGCCAGCCTCAGCAAGTTAGCAAGGCCCTCAGCAACTTTGTGAGACCAAAATAAAAAGGCTGGGGCTGTAGCTCAGTGTAAAGCAATGCTGGGTTCAATCTCCAATACAAAACAAGAAAATATGCAGGTACACTAAAAACATTGTATGAAACTCCTTCCGGTTGTGTGTATAAGGTTGTATGAAACAAAAATGAGTAGTTGTATTTAGACTTGTGTCCTATCCTTAAAACATCTCATTTTTATTGTTTATGCAAATATTCCAAAATTTGAAAAAAACTTTAGAAGCACTTCTTTTTCCAAGCACTTCTTGTATTCTTTTTTAAAAATTGCTTTTATTTTTTAAAATATATGATAGTGGAATGCATCACAATTCTTACTACACATAGAGAGCACAATTTTTCATATCTCTGTTTGTATATAAAGTGTGTTCACACCAATTCATGTCTTCATACACGTACTTTGGATAATGAAGTCCATCACATTCCTCCATCATTGCTAACCCGCTGCCTCCTCCCTTCTCCTCCCACCCCTCTGCTCTATCTAGAGTTCGTCAATTCCTCCAATGCTCCCTCTCCCTACCACACTATGACAGTCACCATATATCAGAGAAAGCATTAGCCATTTGTTTTTTGGGGGATTGGCTAACTTCACTTAGCATTATCTTCTCCAACTGCATCCATTTACCTGCAAATACAATGATTTTATTCTCTTTTATTGCTGAGTAATATTCCATTGTGTATATTTACCACATTTTTTTTAATCCATTCATCTACTGAAGGGCATCTAGGTTGGTTCCACAGTTTAGCTATTGTGAATTGTGCTGCTATATCCTTGGAAAACTTGGAATGGAACCACCATTTGACCCAGCTATTACTCTCCTGAGTCTATACCCAAAGGACTTAAAAAACAGTATGCTGTTTTTAAGGGACACAGGCACTTATTGTATTCTGAAAAGGGATACTCAACTCGCAGACAGAGGTGGATGAATTCAAGTTTCTCAGAGGTCAGCACAAAACAAACATTTGACCAGAGAGTGAGCCAAGCCTAACTTCTACTATAAATCCCATAAGACTTGTCAGGATCAGAATCATCACAGGGACCACCATTTATCAAGCACATGTATGCACCAGTCACCTGCTTCGCCTTGGTTGTCTCAAACCAAGAACTCAAGGGTGCCGCATGAGTTGGGTTTTGCTTTGCAATAATCTCAAAATATCAGTGGCCTGTGGTTTTCTTCTGTGGGTTAAGAGAGAAGGTGGATAACAAACCTGATGATCTTCCCTTTTCCTTTTTCTCACTAATAAAACTGGATCACCTGGAGCAGTGCTGCCTCTGGTCTGCATCTCATGACTGTTTCTGGGACAATGACACCCCCAGGCATGCACTCACCCTAGTGGGTAACAGGAGGAAAAGAAGCCAGAAAAAAAAATCACACACACACATACACACACACACACACACACACACACACACACTCACACACCTGCTCACACTGAGCCATTGGCTAATGCAAGTCACAAAGACACACCCAACACCAGTGGGATGGGGAAATACACTGCCTCCTGCAACATCCTGTGCCAAAGGATTTGGAAAGCCATCAGGATCCAGTCAACCACCAATGGCCTCTACAACATTGCCTAGAAACTTTCCCACTAATTTTCAAAGTTAAAAAACTAATGAATTTTCTAGAAAAATTTTCTTGCTTATCTTAAAAAGTCAAAATGGACAACAGACTTGCTCTTCCAAATCCCTGGATGGTGAAGTCCGCCAGTGCTCTGTCACAGCTGGGGGGCTCACCTGCCCACCACACTCAGCCCACCCTTCCAGTTCACTTTACCTGCCCAGGTGCTGTTGGTGACCGCGCTCCCTACAGTCATGCTCTCTGCCCTTTAAAACCACATTGGGAAGCAGACATGGGCCCCGTGCTACAGATGTGAAGACCAGTGC